GTTTGATAGAACTGAGGGGATTGGACCTTCTAACTTGTTCGAACTCAGATCCAGATATGGGACTTTTGATAGAACTGAGGGGATTGGACCTTCCAACTTGTTCGAACTCAGATCTAGATATGAGGCTTTTGATAGAACTGAGGGGATTGGACCTTCCAACTTGTTCGAACTCAGATCTAGATATGAGGCTTTTAATAGAAATGAGGGGATTGGACCTTCCAACTTGTTCGAACTCAGATGTAGTTCAGGGAAATATGAAAATTCCAATGTCAAATTTGCGAATGTACCTCTAATTTGATTGCTTGTGAGATTCATAAATGTCACATTACGACATAAACTCCAAAACCAACTTGGAAGGATGTCGGAAATTCCAGCATCAGAAATATCAAGGTATGAGAAATTTTTTTGAGTTTGAAGCCACTTTGGGAAATCCGGACCCATCTTGCAAGACCGCAAATTTATGAAGTGCAGTTGGAAAGGAGGAATCCACTCAGCATGGATGTCTAAAACTAGCGAGTTAGAAGATAAATCCAAATCCTGTAATTTGGAGAGTTTTGAGAAATGAGTTTCTGAAATCACTCCTTCCAAAGAATTCATGCTAAAATCAATAGTTTGGAGCCTCGACATTAGCCCTAAACTTTCATGTATTCCTCCGCTTAATTGATTGTTATAAAGATACAATTTTTCCAAAGATGAAAGGTTTGTAAGATCAGGTAATGACCCAGCAAGTTGGTTATAACAAATATCCAACATCTCCAATGAGTTTTGAGCACATGTAGAAAATAATATTTGAACGAACTTAGAAAGTTGTCCACTCAGATTATTGCTTGAGAGATCCAAATATTGCAAACTACATAACTTGGCAAAAGAATGCGGGTCCCCTCCTTCAAGTTGGTTATAAGAGAGATCAAGATATGCTAGAGAGGTCATGTTTCCAAAAACATCAGGAATTGAACCGGCTAGAAGGTTTTCAGAGAGGTCAAGAAAAACAAGGCTGGTATTATAGTTGGACAACCATAGAAATATTGAAGAAGTACTCAAATGGTTGTAAGAAAGGATAACGCTAGCAAGAGATTTAGAAGAGTTTATGTAAGAAAGAGTGGAAAGAATTGGAGGAGGAAGATCACATCCATGTAGTGTCAAGTTTGTTAGTTCAGGAAGCTTATTAACGGTTTCCGGCCAATCGAAAACATTGCTGAGATTCGCTTCACTCAAGCCTAAATATCTTAACGACAAAAGAAGAGGAAGCCAGTTGAGATTTTCTACCTGACTTGTAAAGCTATTAAAACTTAAGTCTAGATACACCAAGTTCGTAAGATTTCCGACCTGACTTGGAAACTTGCCTCCAAAATAAGCCCAAGACAGATCAAGGTATCTTAAATTGGTTAGAGAACCAATGAAATATGGAAATTGGCTCCCATTGAAATCAATCCAAGGAAGGGCCAAAAGTTGTAAATGGTGCAACTCAATCAGTTTAGGACTAATCATCGTACCTTGCAAATAATAATCTTCGCCGATAACTTCGCATGAAAGATCAAGTTGAAGAACATGGCCAGTTTGGTTGCTACAAGAGACTCCCACCCATCTGCAACAATCTTGTTTTTGTGCTTCTGAACCCCATGAAGAGAGGAGATTGTAATCATCCACCAGGCCACGCTTGAATGCAAGGAGTGCGTGCCTTTCCTTCTCTATGCAGCTCCCGGTCACGTTAGTATCCCTCTGACTGTGGTCCACCTCTCCTCCTTGGGCGTATTTTAGCAAAAGCAGAGAAAATGCAAGAAAGAGTTTGAAGCACCTTCCGTGGCCTTGCATGTTAATAGATGAACACGATCCAATGAAGAGAAGAGGCACAATTGTTTAGGATTTAATTATTGATATATGGTTGTCTCCGTGCTTCTCCATATATATAGGGGGAAAGAAGAAAGTCTTTACTAACGTATTTCAATGAATTGGTAGCCTTTCTTTTTCTTTTAGTCTGAACATGTATTTCAATGAATTGGGGAAATTTGGTATTTGGTAAGACTTGTGTGTGGCTCCACATAAGACTTTAATTTCACGGACTTGAGAATCCCGAGTTCCACGCCAAAAATCAGGACAAATTATTGTAGGTATTGACTTGACTTGAGATGGTTTCATATAACTGCATCCTGTGGTGGGTCATGTTTGTAATTTGTCTCCCATGATCAAATCCAAGGCACAAGCTATAATTGTATCCTTCTTGCAATGCTGACTTGACTTATTTAGTGAGAGTAAATATCAACAATACAATTAATTATGGTTAATACTGTATTTGTGCAGTTTAGTTTTTGAACTGTTTACATAAGATTTGTACTTGACAAAAAATGAAGGAAAAGTGCCCCCTTAACTTTTAATATTTCTTAACCAAACTTTCCACGATGACTTGTATATTTTTTGAGCAAATTTTACGTGGTGACTTATAATTTTCGTGGTTCATAATTTTTTTCCTTCGTACCCAATTTCTTAATAGTGTAAGTATTAGCTTGACCTTGGAAGCTTGGACTGTATACAGAGAGCTTCCATTGAGGGATCCCTCAAATAAGCTTATTTGAGGGACACCCCTTGTAGGCCCCACTCCGGATTGTATTAAACTAATCCAAACCGTCTATTTTGTAGATACTCATTCAAAGATCATCTCCACAAAAAATCACTTGAATCTGATATCATTTGACCATTCAATTGAGTTATTGAAATTTTAGTACTTTCTTGAAGTACCGTATTCGTTGATTTTGTAGAACACAATTGGATGTCGAAACAGTTTCCGATTTGTCTAATTTTTTGTAAGGATGATCTATGAATGAAGACCTAAAAAATATATGGTTTGGATTATTGAAAAAAAAATTGTATGGTACCCTAAAGGGCGTCCCTCAAATAAAATTATTTGAGGGATCCCTCAATAGAAGGGGACTGTATACAGAGAGCTTCGATTGAGCGATCCCTCAAATAAGCTTATTATGGCTAATATTTGTGATCTTACTAATATTTCCCCTGTACCATGGTTGACAAAAAAGTAAAATTGCAGAATTATGGCTAATCAAGAAGTTAATACGGTCTTGCGGAGGCCCACGTGAATGGATGCGTCAAAATAAAATGCAGCTTTACAAATTAGCACATGCCATTAGCAAATTGAAAGATAGATAAGTCCATGGATCTCACTAATGGGACCTTAAAATGACCCATACTGTTAAAATAGACAATAGACTACGGTCTATATAGTGGTAGAGTAGGTAGGTGTTTTGAAGAAAAAGGAAAGATACATCAATCAATTGGGAAATTAATTCGTTTTCTCGGTTTTCATAATAACATTTTATGAAAATTATACCTGAGAGCATCTACAATACAATAGGCTCTCTAAACCACCTTCTTAGACAAATTTTAGGGAGAATTTGGAAAAATACATCTCCAATCATGCTCCTTATTCACCTCCTAAAATATGGAGACCTCTAGGAGCTCCTAAATCTGAGAAGGGAGAAATGACTCTTAGTGACTCCCTATAATTTAATGTTGTTTTATTTAATGAGTATTTCAAACCTTTAATTAATATTTATTATTTTTTATATTATTTTTTAATATAAATTGACCAATTAAAAAAGAGTTATAGCATTTATGATTCCCTAAACTAGAGATTATGATTGGAGTTTACATTTTATAGAGAGCTCCTAAAATAACTTTTATATGTTTTTTGCTAAAATTTAATTAAACTATAGAGAGCATGATTGTGGATGCTCTAAAGACATTACTCGATGAGAATCGTATTATGATAATTTATATTCTTATATTGGAGAAAAGTTTTGTGGGTGCGCTAAATTGGACCTAACTTTTTCAATGATGCATTAATGGGAGAAATTTTTTGACAAATAAGCTTCAAATTATTAGATAATAATTACTCGAATTTTGCCCCAGCGTGTCTTATTTTTCTTCCCACACAATTATTGACTTAGATTTAAGATGGTGATTTGCCTCTCAACATATACCAAACTATTTAATGACTCGAACTGACTTTATAGTCTCTACCACTTTTTTCCATTCAACAATACCATTAATTATAGTCAATACTGTATTTGTGCAGTTTAATTTTTGAACCATGACATAAGATTTGTACTTGAAAATTCCATTAGGGCCTGTTTGGATGAGGGACATGGACAAGAAATGAAGGAAAAGTGCCCCCTTAACTTTTGATAATTCTTAACCAAACTTTTGGCGATGACTTGTATATTTCTTAAGCAAACTAAATTAGTGACTTATAATTTTTGTGGCTCTGTTTTATAATTTTTTTCCTTTGTACCCAATTTCTTAATAATGTAAGTATTAGCTTGACCTTGAAAGCTTGGACTGTTTAATTCTACAAAAAGCACATCTTTGATAATTCAAATTTCTTTTAATGTGTCAAGATATGTGTGCACTTGTACTTGAAAATTCTATTATTAACCAAACTTTCCGAGGTGACTCGTATATTTCTTAAGCAAACTTTACATGGTGACATAATTTTTGTGGCCCCTGTTTCTTTTTTTTTTTTTTTTTTTTGCCTTCTTACCCAATTGGCTTGACCTTGAAAACTTGGACCGATTAATTCCACAAAAAACACATTTTTTATAATTCAGATTTATTAAAGACATCTGTGTCTTTGTCAAACTTTTACCAAAAGCATATTTTTAAAAAGTGAATTATCTTTTTGAGTGAACGATAAGACTGAAAGTGTGGGATATTATAAAAGATGAGCATGTATTAATTTTGGCACATCCTTTCAATATATATATATATTTTTTTTTTTTTTTGAGAACGCACATCCTTTCAACGTGAGATGGGATTCTTTCCTTTCAAATGCTTGTAACGTGTTTGAGATATTCACACAGACAGACAGGAAACCAAAACAGAGCCATATATTTACACAAGACATGACAAGAAAAAGACCACGAATCATCTGCCCCTGCTGCAAATTAAGTTACACACTAATTTTCACAATGCAATTAAGTGGCTAGATATTGACTTGACAGATAAAAACAAGAGCTTTTCATATGTAAGTAAGCCCATAAATAGGGCCCTAAATATTTATAAATAAAAAAACACCTACAATACTCAAATTGTTTCACTTTTCCCCCCCAAACTAAGGAGGGACCAAATATACCATACAAGCCTTAAAAAACCTAAAAATTACAATACTGCCATCATAATTTTTTTTCTTAAAAATTCTAATGCAAGGATAATAATGGTATTTCACACCTTATTCAAAATAAGTAAAACATATAGTACAACTAGTTTTTTTTTCTTTCTCTCTTCAATTTATAGGTTTTATATATAAAAGGCAAGGACTGAGTTTTATTATAAATTTCTGAAAAAAAAAAAAAAAAAAGGAGCTGCATGTTGAAGAGCATACAAATCAGATAATCACTTTTTCTTTTTCTAATTTGTAGGGTCTGAATGGGAAGTTGATTGAGTTGGGGACTAATGGATCAGAAGACTCGTGGAAAATTTGTATTGGAAGAATGAATGTGTGATATGTGGGAAAGGTTTTGTGTTGTTGATGCTCCTTTTCGGGGAGGGTCAACTTAGAGAGAGGGGGTTGTCTTTAGCAAGAGAAGGGCCTGGGCCTTCGGTAGGGGGCTAGCCTGCAAAAGACAAAGATATGAGAAGCAATCGTTAAGCTTCGGACATCGGTGTGGTGCCGGCCGAAGGCTCTCCGATGCCTGAGTCAGCTAGGGTGAGTGACTATTGCAAAGTAGCAGTAATAGTGAGAGAGAGAAGTTACCATTTTTCTTGGTTACTGTTCCTATTTATAGGGAAGTAAAGGTAGGAGGTTTGCACAAAGTTCCGATGTGGGACTTTGTGCAAGTTGCTGTGATGATGACACGTGTCTCCTGTGTTTTAGGTTTGGCAGTTCGGAGCTTCGGCAGGTGGTTGTCCCTTCGGAAAAGCATCTCCCTTTGGCAGGGAGGAAGGCACGTCTACCTTGGTGTTTTAGTCACGCTTGGTTAATTATGGTGTAAACAGTAGT